AATCAATCAACTAACCAACCAACCAACCAATTAATCAATCAATTAATCAATCAACTAACCAACCAACCAACCAATTAATCAATCAATTAATCAATCAATCAACTAACCAACCAACCAATCAATAAATCAATCAATCAACTAACCAACCAATTAATCAATCAATTAATCAATCAATCAATCAACTAACCAACCAACCAACTAACAAACAAATAAACCTACTATAACAATCAATCAATCAACCAACTAACCAACCTATCGACCAAAAACCAACCAACTAATAAATCAACCAAGCAACCAGCAAAGTAACAAACCAACCGACTGACCAAACTAACCAACCAATCAGCCACATTACAATCAACTAACCAACCAACCAACTAACAAACAAATAAACCTACTATAACAATCAATCAATCAACCAACTAACCAACCTATCGACCAAAAACCAACCAACTAATAAATCAACCAAGCAACCAGCAAAGTAACAAACCAACCGACTGACCAAACTAACCAACCAATCAGCCACATTATCGACCAATCAATCCACGATCCAACCAACCAATCAACAAACCAACCGACCAATTAGTTAATCCTTTGAAATAACATTTGAAAGGACTAAATAGCTAATCAACTGTTCTTTTTAGATCACCCCTCCAGAATACCGCGTAGAAGACATGACTACCCCAGCCGTCCTTTTCTCCGGGTCACATGATACTCTAGCTGATCCTTTAGATGTCGATCATCTCAGGGCGAAAATAACAAACCTTCATCATTTTGAGGAGATACAAGGATGGAATCATGCGGATTTTTTATTTGGGTCTGACGCTCCACAGAAAGTTTACAACAAAATGTTAAAAATGATGAAAGATATGCTCTACAGACGCGCAAAATAGGTTTTCAATGATCAAATAAACTGTCTCTACAGCCTTGTGAATAAATGTAAAATAAAATAAACAGACGCTTCAGTTAAAATCAAAAATATTGCAGCTATTGTCTGTACATGTACTTCTAGATCTAAAAATTTGTGAAAGAGTCATTCGTACTGAGTGGATATCAAATTTTTATTTTTCACGATCGTCTGATTAATGCTCAATCAAATACAATAAACTAAAATATTGACATCAGAATGTGTCCGCGTTGTCAACATCAATAATTGTTCATCGATTAGGAACTAGGTTACGAGGGCTAACGTCAGTGAAAACTGTTATCCTATTGCTCCCAATATCGCCGAAACATAAATCCACATTTTTATCAAAAACATCTAAGAAAGAAAGGAAGAAAACGAAAAAGGAATGAAATGAAAAGAAAAGAAAAGGTCCTGAAATTTTTCTTTATTAAGATACCTGCGTGTAACTCTTCCTAAAGTGATTACACTGTGTATGGGGATACCTGTAGCTTTGCCCTCAAAATTGTCTTCTTACGGACACAGCCTGACTAAATCGACTCTACTCCAAGAAGTATAATGATTGCTACTTGGTTTAACTGGTAGAACAACGATGCTCTTGATATACTGCTGCCGCAGAGTATATGCTACGGAACATTTACGCATACATGCTTATCTATAATATACAGTGGAAATATTATCCACAAAGCAATAAAAAAAGGTCGTAGAGACTGTAACGACTGCTATTTGGTCTAATCGATCGAACAACGATGCTCTTGATATACCGCTGCCGCATAGTTTACTACGGAACATTTTTTAATTTTCTTTATATTATCATTACGACTGTAACGTCTGCTATTTGGTCTAATTGATAGAACAACGATGCTCTTGATATATTGCTGCCGCATAGTTTACTACGGAACATTTTTTAATTTTCTTTATATTATCATTACGACTGTAACGTCTGCTATTTGGTCTAATTGATAGAACAACGATGCTCTTGATATACCGCTGCCGCATAGTTTGCTACGGAACATTTACGCAAACATGGAAAATATTATCCACAGAAACTATAAGAAAAAGGTGCTTTGAATGGCATAACCAAAAGGACGTGTATTTCCGCCATGCAGGTTATCATTTTCTCTGAAACCATGATAAAAACAGCCATTTCGCAAAAAAGTGATGGTAGTTATTTTATCTGTTTTATAAAGCTTTAGGCTTTTTGGGAAGGAAATGTCAGCCGTTAAGTCGTTTAGCAGTCGTATAGCTTTCAAAAATAAATGCGTAATTCCAAATAATTTAAATAATGCGTAACTCGCTTATAGAATGCCAAAACCTTGCTATCTTGGTTCGTTTTTTGATGATGGATGAGAAGTCTTCAGAAACTCAAAGGATTTTCACTTCTTATTAGTGTTATCTGATTGGACGTAATGTTTTCACGGTCAGCTTCTAAAGAATCTGTTTGCGTGTAATGACAAGCTTGTGGGGTGTATTTCAAGTGTTTGATGCTTCAACTGTGTTCCGGTATTCATCGTATAATAAACACACGAACCTATTTATGATATTGTACTTAAAGATATAGTAGATATCTCTATGATGAGCTGATAAATCCTATATAAGAGCACTACACTTAGACATCTTATACACTAAGTCCTGGTACCGAACCACAGCCGATCCTACGTAACATCGACCACTATAAGTAAGTATGTATGTGCACATATACAGCTATTTCAAAAAACGTTGTCGGGCAGAACGAAGAACTGCGATTGTCGGCGAATTGAGATTGAAACGACCGAAAGGGACTATGGTTACACTGTTTTGATAAAAAAAAATTCGCCTATTGGTTTCATTTTGCATAGAATTGGAGGCTAAATTGGCCTTTACCTAAACGAGCAGGAGACTGGGTACTAGTTATCTAAATTAACCTAATTAAAAAATCAATCATATTATTGGAAAGACCACCACGAAATAAACAAGATTCCAAAGTTTGGTTGCTTTTAGTTAATCTTCAAAATGTTAGAAAATTACAAGGAAATGTATGGTTTGGATGGACAGTGTTAAGGCTGATTTACACGGTACGATTTGTCGCGCGCGACTTGTAGTATACGATTTTCCTACTACAAGTCGTAGGATTTTAAGCAGTGGTTCAAAATCCTACTACAAGTCGTAGGTTGCGTACGACTGTTGTAGACAAGTCGTAGGGGCATTTACACTGCACGATTCAAGTCGTATACTACAAATCGCACGAGACAATCGTGCCGTGTAAATCAGCCTTTACAAACAACTGTTTGTACTGGATGGCCACTGTCCATCCAAACCATACATTTCCTTGTAATTTTCTGACATTTTGAAGGTCCATTTCTTACACATTATTTAACCAAAAGCAACCAAACTTTGGAATCATCTTACAATACAAATCAGTATCTATTGCCTTTCAACAGGCAAAAACCATGACTACTTTCGGTCGTGCAATCGCCGTTCGACAATTGACATTCGCCATTTTATCCGAAAGCCTGTTTTGAAATAGCTATACAAATGTAAGATTGATTAATTTTTTTCTCAGTAGCGCTCAAATAAAGGGGATCAATTTATACTTATATTAAGTTGAGATAAATGATCTTTACCTCAATATCTAATCATGTATAGACACCTATTTCAAAAAACGTCGTCGGGGAGAACGGCGAACAAAGATTGTCGAAGGGAGATTGTACGCGGACCGAAAGGGACTGTGGTTACAATGTTTAGTTTAATTGCATTCGTCAAGCAAACATTTACATACATGCTATATTACATCAACGAATGATCTGCTGACAGGTAAAAATAACAGGACGAAAGTCCCAATTGACAATTTTTACCCCCCAAAAATAAAACATAACTTAAATCCTTACAAACACTAAATAATTAGATAAGGTGCCAATTTAGTTCTAGCTATGAATCTATGGAGGACGGTACAAAGTTAATTTATTAAAGTAAAATAAGTGAATTTGCTTTTTGAATGTAGTTATATTATTAGCCTTTTTAATGTCCGTTGGCAGAGAGTTCCATAGTGTAACGGTTCTGGGAAAATAGGACTGCCGGTAATATGGGTAATAGTCTTGAGTGTGGTGAGAAATCGGTCTATAGTTTGTAGAATCAAAGTTGCGTGTATTATATATCTAGAAGTTGACTGGATGAGCAGGTTAGAAGAAAAGCTATGGTGTCTTGTAAAGCAGAATGAGGTCATTGATCTCACGTCTGAACTCAAGAGGTAGCAAATTGAGTGACATAAGCCGCTGCGTGTAGTTGACGTCTGGTGAGGGATAGTTAAGTATGAATTTAGTGGCACGACGTTGAATATTTTTGTTTCGACAAACAAAATTGCATTTATTGCATAGAAATTGAGAATAGAGCCAACTCATACTGACCTCTCAGCGGTTTCAATCACTGAATAAGTTCAGTACTCTGGTGAGAAGAACAAAGAACCAGAAAGGAGTTTTTTTTTACCTACTGATTTAATTTCCGCGTGATAAGTTCACTAAAAAAGTCTACTTTAATTCTTGAATTGCTTTTTTCATGATACAAGTGTTTTTTGAGTGCTTTAATCAATTGCTCAGGCTTTCTGGTGTATATTTCTCTTTCTTGCTGTTTAAGAGTACTATACATTACCGCAGAAAAATTTTGTTTTCATCTTTAAAAAAAACTCGCTATTAAGAGGGTCTCAATGAGGGGGGGGGGGGGGGGGGGGGGGGGGGGGGGGGGTGCGCATCACGACTCACGGCTAAAAATTTGGCTTTTTCACGCCTCACGGCTAATTTTTTTCTCATTGTCACGACTCACGGCTAATTTTGTTAAGCCGTTCACGGCTCACGGTTAACCCCATTGAGACCCTCTATTAAAGTGACCAAGTTCTTTATTCAATATATTGTAAAATACGGTGGTTTTCATAAAATGAATTGACGGAAAGCCGCGTCGATATCGGCGGCCAATCAGACAGAGAGTCCCTAACAATTTCTCTGTATATAACAATTAGTTACAATAGCTAACTATCTATCCCAACATCATTAGACTTTCCTTTTTTTGACTTTGTAACCTACACTCACTTTACAAGGAAATTATCTTGTTTCTCACTTAATAAATGATAACACCGAAAAACAAAGTTGTTGCAAATCATTCGAAATATAAGTGTCCAAAGTGAAAACGGATGAGCAATGTTTGAGAAATTCACATTAAACTGGAAAGATAATTTTCCGCACTTGTGCAAAAATAGAAGTTAAAAAAATTGAATTATTGAAAGGGCACAAAAGGCTCTCGACCATGAACCTAAATAATAGCTCTGCCCCATTAGCCTCATGGGAAATCATTCAATATAAAGGACTGCACAACAGTTCTTAACGCATAGAAAGAGCCAAAAGCAAACCATAATCGCAAGAASACAAGGTACTATATCAATTACACCCGATTTCAAATGAGTGCGAACTCTCTAATTTTTTTTCGGACGCTAAACTTTCACTCGACCGTCATTCACTCGACCACTTGGTAACCTGGCACAGCTTGAAGCGGGTAAAATTATCCAAGTATAAAAACCATGGTTAATGTATGTCTGCGGGCTAAATTCCTACGGTTTGTGATCGCACTATACAAAACGAACTTATTGTAAAAACTCAGAGGAGGGAACAGTAGTACCCCACAATGCATTGCGTTTCAGACTATATTATCGGTTTTTATATGACGTCATCACTTGTTTTTGGTCTTGGCCGAGTGAAGATCAATGGCGGGAAACTTTGACCCGTTCGCCAATTTCATCTCTAGAATTTCGATTATAGAGATGAAAATCTCAAAGATTCTTCTTTTTTATATATTCATTGTATAAGTAAGAACAATTTTCAAGTATCGACAAAAAGAATTGCTTTTTTAGACCTTATTTGTCGACAAGTGGACATCAGTTTTGTAGATAAGTTAAATCGATAAGGAAATTGTCGGAGAGTTGAGTTGCTTTGATTCCTCTCGCTGTGGACGGTCAAAAGGTTGAAAGCTGTTTGATAAAATAAGAAGTCCTACTTTATAGTCCGTGTTTTTATTTCGTCAGATTTAGAGGTTAGTAAAAACTTGTTTTCATTGTTTGAAATTACTTGAAATGAGCTTAGAACTAGATTAGAACTGAAGTCCGGCTTTGATGCTAGAAAAACCGAAGTTGTTGTTTTGCATTGAAAGAAATCATTTTATAAATAAACAGTTCTTACTTTGATCATTAGTTGGTATAAGT